GCGTCCTTACAAGGCTCAGCGTTGAAGCGAGAGTCTAGTACCCCAAATGTCCTGCTATGGAGATCGCTTCAGTTATAAGGTTCCTCAGGGCTGCAGCTCCTAGGCTGGGCCTTCCAGTGGCAAGTGCAAACAGTTGTCGGGTAAGCCGAGTACAAAGAGCTGCGATTTTGTAGGCCAAGAGGCACGTGGGGTTGGGGAGGAAGGGATCAATACCCGTTAGTTTTTAATCTACCTGGACCTCTTAGTAATTGTACTCCCTAACTTTTAATAGACCACAAAACAAGATGTAGTAGGAAAGTAAAATTTTGGGAGAGAAAGCACACTTGCGTATCCCCTACACAAGTTCTTTGGAGTTGGTTAGCACACATGTTGCCCCTGAGGACTGCCCACTGCCCACTGCCTCTGCCGGCGAGTTGTTAGGGATCTGATTAATGGAGCAAATATGGTTTTGGCATAACAACCAAGATGGGCTCCATAGACAAAGCAGGATTTGTCTGCTTTACCCAGTGCCCATTCAGAATGGACAAGTCGACATTTTAAAAATGGAAAACAGATGTTTCATACAAAGCTTTAAAAGTGTCAGGTATAGATGAAGGATCCTGGTTACTCAGATGGATTGGATCCAAGAAGGGAATGCGGAGAAATCTGGCATTTCATCTAGCCGGCCTGAGTGTGTTCTAAAGTAATTCTAGTTTACCTTTGAATAAAGAGAAGATACTCTGAATTAGCAAATCAAAATAGAATGACTTCTGAATGAACTAATAATTGTAATGCCATTTTCATTTCTAGCTTCAGTGTCTTATACCTGGCACACAGAAGTATATATATTTAAGGTGTACACTGAAGATTTGATAGGTATATGTATTTTGAAATGATCACTGCATTAATTAACAAACCATCACTGTTAGCATAGTAATTGTCATATCTAAACAATTGGTTTGTCAGATCACTATCACTAAACCCTTGTTAATAAACAGGCAGATAAAAGCTTGAATCAAGTTCTAACTGTGCATATATTGTAATTTGAGTATCATTATATTTAGTCCACCCACTTTACAATCCGCATATTTATAAAACTTGCTTTCATGCTCTTAAAGCAAGGCGAAGGGAGACCCATTTTTCAATTTTGTTTTTCAATTTCAAGTAAGAAGCTTTTGAGTTTTAATTCATTATGTGCTTTTCAATCCTCTCACATGCGATCATGGCATGCTACAATTACCTGGGAAACTAAAGAAATACATATACTGGGCTTCACCCCTTCTCTCTGGTGAAACTGGGTCACTAATTTTTTAAAAGCTTCTTAGCTTATTTTAATGTGTAAGCAGATGGGAAACTCCGGCCTCATTCTATCTTGGCATCTAATTGTGTGTATCCTCCTGTTTGCTGGGACGCACTGTAGGAGATGCCAAGGGCCGCTCCCAGTGTTTATGGCTAGAGCTTACGTATCGGTTGAGCTTCCAGAACATTAGGAGGGTGATGCAGTGTTGAGAATACAGACTGTCTTGTAAAAACGCCAGCTCTCCACCTCATAGATCTGTTACCTGGGAGATGTTATTGCTGTGTTAGTGGTGATAATGGCAAGCCTTCATTTGCACGATGGGGTCTGGTGAAGGGAGACAGGTGGTGGGAGAGTTCTCTGTGGTCCATCCCAGACCTGGGTTGGTACCAAAGGCTTTTCATTCTACTTTAGATAACTCCGTGAGAGGCATAGCTGCACATCTAAGAGAAGATCTCTGTTTATAGTTCAGTTTTTAGTGTTTGATATTGGTCTGGTTTTTTTAAAGCATTTGATTTTGATGAGATATGAAATATTATTGGCAGCATCATAACAGATCTTGGGCTTTCATTGAATTTGGAAGCAAAATAATGGATGATCAGAGTTTTTAAGAAGGCATTTTTTTCCTTAATTTAAAGCGTTATCCAGTACCACATTGACAAATAACAAAGCAGTGGTTGCTTTAGAATGAGGACAAGGAGGTGTGGAGGGATTTTCAAGGGACATGAGGAGACTTTTGAGACTGATGGATGTATTAATTGGCTTGATGGCCGTGAACAATTCATTTATGTTACAAGTTATCAAATTTTGTAATTTAAACATATACAATTTTGTCAAAAGGAAGATGTTTAAAAATATAATTTGGCATAGTCTATGAATATAGAGGTCAGAGGGATTTTATTTTACATGAAACATCTGAGCTATAATAGCCAAGCCTAGGATTGATAATATTTTTATCAAATGTGGAGGTTGGAATATGAAATTTTCGCATGTGCCATGCCGGAGAGAATGGGAAGAATTGTGAATCACTCAATGTCTGTATGAACCCAGGATGTGCAATTAACAAACTGGAAATCAACCAGTCGCTGAACCCTTATGCCCATAGGTTCTGAGCACACTTCCAATTTGTTGGCTGTGACTCAGGTGAACTAGACAGGGCTTCTGTTTAAAGCTATTTTGTTGGTTAACTATTAGATACTATTATAATAGTGTTAAATACTACTATTGTACTTTAAGGATGGCACTTAAAGACTTGTCATTAAGACACATTGATCGGCTTTAGGTATTGTTTGAACATGGCTAGAGAACAGTTTATAGAACCCTCTTTGGTTTGAGAACAGAATTAGACATGAGTCTGAAGATAACATTCAGTGAATGATAATACATGAAATTTAAAATTCCAAGATAAACATCAACATGTGAATGCTAAGTATCAGCGATGGGGAAAAACTGGGTCGTTAACTATGAACTTTAGAAATACTATGCTTTCTAATATAGTGATTTCTTTAAATTCTCAGTACAGTAAACTTTTGAATTCCACCTTTACTGTTTTAAAATTCAGGCTAATAACTGAGACGATGCTAATCTAACTGAGTTAATCATAACTCAAAACTGAGTTGATCATAATGGCTATTTCCACACCAAGAAATGCAGACGTGAGGTGAAAATATTCTTTTGATCCAACATCAGCTGTGGTACTTATGTTCTACACAGACAGACATTTGAGACACTTTGATCTTCACACAGTTTATAAGGGCCACAGCTGATTGGATTAAGTGACATTTGTTTTCACAGCTATCCTACCACTGAATATGTAGAAATAATCTAAGCTTAATTAACAAAATGCTTTCAAATCTAACATTGCACAATAAAGCATGATCCAGTTGCAAAAGAGTATTTGTTAACATTTCCATGTTCGATTGCCAATGCTTCAAATAACTGAAAACTGACTGAAAAATATACTCTCATATAGGAAGAGTTTCTGTAGGAGAGTATCTTGGCCAAAATAGACAGACAGTTTTCAATACATTTTTTTCCCCAAGACCTTGAAGTAGAACTCAGGAGGATATAATCTTAAAAATTTTGGAGGCTAAGTCTTAGAGGTGGATGTTATTGCCAATCTTTCTTTAGAAACTACTAGAGTAACTTTTTAAAATTATTAATTTGTCAGTCATTTACATACCTATTTAACTTTTGGGTTAAGTTTTTACTCCTCCACATATGCACATGCTTCACTCGCCCTCCACCAAACCTCCGCTGCCGCCAGCACACATTCCCTTTCTTCTGCCATGCCCTCCTACTCCTCCTTGTTCCCTCAGGTAACCAGTATATTTTTCACTAGATCTTGAAATTGTTTTTGCTGTGCTTAACCAGTGTATGTATGGACATATAAATATGTGTGTATATATATGTTTATTTGAAGAAGCAAAATACCCAAAATAGCCAACACAATGTCAAGGGATAAGAGATTCAGAGAACTTACTACAAATAGACCAATGCAAATTACAGAGAGGCCAGAAATTGAACCACATAAACAGAGTCGACAGATCTTTGACAAAGGAACTAAGGCAATACAGTGAAAAGATTAGTTGGCGCTGGAACAACTAGATACTTGTATGCAAGAAAAAAAAATAGGAAGAAGAATCTAGATGGAGACCTTATAATCTTTACAAAAGGTAACCCAAAATGTTTCACTAATTGCACTTCCTAAAATTAAAAACCTTTCTGTGAATGACTCTGTCTAGAAAATGAGAAGACAAGCTATAAATATGGAGAAAATATTTTCAAAAGACAAGTCTATTAAATAACTATTTTTCAAGATGTATAGAGAAATCTTAAAACTCAACAATGGAAAAACAAGTAACCCAATTATAAAATGCACAATAAAACCAGACACCTCACCAATGAAAACACACAGATGGCATCTAAGCAAATGGAACAATCCTCAACAATCCTATGGCATCAAGAAACTGCAAAATTAAACAACAGTGGGATACCACTGTATGCCTATTAGGATGGCCAAAATCTGAACTCTGACAATAACAAGTACTTTCAAGAACATGGTGCAATAGAAAAGCTCATTCAGTGCTAGGGGTGGGGGCTGGGGGGAGTAGTTCATTCAATGCAAGTGCTTGGGAAGGTGTTTTGGTGGTTTCTTAAAATACTAAACATATACTACTATATCATCCTATGGCCTCGCTATTTGTTATCTATCCAAATGAGTAGAAAACTTACGTGTACATAGAAACCTGCCAACAAGTGTTCGTAGAAGCTTTATTCTGAATTGCCAAAACTTGGAAACTAGCAGTTTTTCCTTCAATGCATGATAAATAAAACATGGTACTTCCAGATGTTGGAATGTTATTCAGCACTAAAAAAGAAAAGAGCTACTGAGCCCTAAAAAATGACATGGAGGAACCTTAAATGTATATGCCTAAGAGAAAGATTCCAGTCGAAAAAGGCTGCATGATTTGAACTATGTGACATTCATATATGATTAGTATGATTTCAACTCTGTGACATTCTGGAAAAGACAAAACTGTGGACACAGTAAGAAGGTCAGTAGTCTCAAGGGTGTAGGGGCGATGAATGTAAAGATCTTCTTTACTGAATTTGGGGGAGAATGAAAGGATGGTGAGATGGAGCAGAATGAATTTTTTAGGACAAAGAAATAATTCTGCAAGGTACTATAATGTTGAATGCATGTTGTTATTCACTTGCTTAGGCCTGTGGAGTTTACAGCATCAGGTGAAGAGCTAACCCTCAAGTAAACCGACCTTTCGGTGAGAATGATGTATCAATAGAGATTTATCAACTGTAATAAATACACCACTTAGGTATTGATAGTGGGGAAAGATGCATATATGGGGGTAAAATTATATGGAAATGGCTTTATGCTAAATTTTTCTATGAACTTGAAAGGGCTCTTAAAAAATGTTCAGAAAAAAATTGACTCAGTGACTAAACTATCCTTCATTGATATTTTAACTCAAAATGAACTTTATACATTTGAGGAAATATAGTGGGCAACTGTTTCCTATTTTATTCTATTTATGTTTTTAAGATTTATTTATTTATACAAGCACTGGGTACAGTCAGAAGCGCGGGAGGGCGAGAGAATTCACCAGAGCCAGAGCAGGGAACAGAACAGGCAGACTGATGAAATACACTGCTGAGGGGAGCAGCGGGCGGCAGGAGAGGTCTGCGCGCCATGTGAGACCCTCGCCGGTGGCCAGGGATTGAACTGGTGCTGCAGAGGCTGTGGGCAGCTTCACAGCCCAGCGCTCAACCGCTGCGCCATCCGGGAAGGCCCCTGTTTTCTATTTTAAATATGAAAAATATTTCTGCCATTAAGAAACAGTATTTTACTATTGATATCGAGGCTAAAATTTTTGTCAACATGTTCATTGTATGTCTGATTAAATACTTGTCAGATTCAAGAAAGCTGTGAATTTTGAATGTTAGTATTGCTGTTTTAATAGCAATAAGAGGACTTTCTTTGCATCCTGTGACTCAGAGGACTCTAAAGATCACAAAACAAAAATATATAAATATAGAGAGCAATAAACTATTTTAGTATATGCATTATAACTATCATTAACTATAAATGCATTAAACAAATATGCATCTGTTATCAAATATTCATATAGTTATTTCTTCATTAATTAAAAATAAAATTGATTGTAATTTTATGAGTGTATGCGATTTTTGTCTTTCTCCTCAGAGGTGCATTAAAGGGCACAGCGCCCACTCTGTCCATAGGCATCAGATGTTCATCTGTGGCTTAGCAAAGCCCATTCCTGGCAGCCTCTGCTTTCAACTCCCCCCACTCTCAGACCCATGAAGCCTTCTCCACAGCTGTCCCAAAGCCAAAGGTGAGTTTAGAACTTGCAGGTCAGTGAGTTTTTGCTGCTGTCACAGAGAGACTTTGCTCTAGGGTGCAGAGGATGGAATATGTCAAGCACTTAGGCAAAGAAAAAAATATACCATTTAACAAATTCTTACTCACAGTCTATATATGCAGAAGATTTTTGCCTGAAAGTATTCCTAAGCGCCAAGTGTCATTTTATTTATTTCATTTTTGTGGCTTCCTTTTGTATGCCAAAATACAGTTCCAGTGGATATTCACAAATTAGCACAGTATTCGCAATACTTGCACAGAGCAGCTGAGGAATAGCACAACATTAAACAATTTCTAGATTCTTAAGTTGTTTAGTTTTTGTAAATCTAGACAGAATATGCCAGGAGCATGTTACCATCTCCTTACAATGACAGTTAGATGGACATTAAATGCTAGAATTGCAAATGCTTTTACTTTTATAAAATCATTAATAAAATAAACATTAAAAAGTAATCATTGAGCTTTATTTTATTTGTTAGAGATTTTTGGTGTTTAATACTTAAATTATTCATTTTGCCTTTATAATTAAAGAGCTTTGAATATTTTAGAACAAAGATGTATTTTTTAAAACAAAAATTATTTTTCTTAGTTTGGATTAACTAATGTATACTTTAAACACAAATATGTTGAATGTTTATGTACTTTAAATACTATAATATACTTTAGTTATTTGAATCATTATAACACAGAGAACAGAAATGGAGTGAAATCTTGATTATAATAAAATATATCTTATTACATAAAATATTTATCAAATAGAATAGTTTACAAACAGAAGGTGATTTTATTTTTGATGATATACTGACAGCACTTGCTCCTCAGTAGAAATGCAGACATATGTAGTCAGAATTCAGTCAGCACTGATACATTAGAGGAGGCTTTCAGTCATAGAAAAGTTTTCTTTTACATTTCTTTTGCATTTTTGTCTAAGGGAATATCTGTTAAAGGAGGAAGATACGTCATGCATTGATTGTTAACTTGACTTATAATTTTTTTAACTGTTTGTTTATTTATTTATTTTTGTGTACAAGAACTGGGGCATAGGCCAGAGGTGTGGGAGGGTGAGAGGATTCACCAGAGACAGAGCGGGGAGCAAAACAGGCAGAGCTACTGAAATACATTGCTGAGGGGAGCAGTCAGGAGACAGGAGAGGTCTGTTGTGCCATTTGGGTCAGCTCCCTGGCTGGGGATGAAACTCAGGCTGTTGTTATGAAAGTGCTGAGACTTAACTCCTAGGCGACCAGGGAGGCCCTGACTTAGAATTTAATGACACAGAAGCCACGGACCTCTATTTTGTTTTTACTTCCCCCCTGGCCCCTCAGCCTTTAGAGTGGGTCACCTGTGTGTGATTGATTTACCAGGCTAGGGCAGGGAAGCTCACAATTTTATTCCCTCCTGGCACACCTGGGAAATGAGAATTACAGATGAAGTGAGGTAAAATGTCTGTAAAGGGTTTGCTGGGAAAAACTAGAAAGTTTTCTATTCTGTTATTTAAAGTCAATCAAAATCAAGGTCTTAGTGGTTCTAACAAACACTCAACTTGTATTCTACATTCAAGTAAAAAATTTTCAAATTTTTTTCTTTTTCTTTTATTTTATATATTTTGTACATCATTTTTCATTTTTGCACAATGTGTGCATTTTCATCTGTGTTATATTCCCCATACAATTCCCACCCTCCTTATTTTGACTCTACTCCCTCCTCCCCCCATAATGTGTCTCTGGTTTATAGTTGCTTGTTGATTTTGATTTTTACTTTATTATAATTAGTCTTTTTCCTGGTCCCTTATTTTAAAATGAGAAACAGGAATTCTCATCTAAGTGTTTTGTTTTGTTTTTTTTTAATATCAGGGTTTATGTTTGAGATGAGTATTTTGCATTCAAATGATTTGTATGAGCTCTTCAAATTCTTAGTAGTAAGCACAGAATGTTATTTTTTTTCTAATTACAATAGAGTAAAAATGATAATTACACATATTAAAATGCATAGCAATTTATTTTATAGATTATTTAATAGATTAATTTATCTCACTCACCAATATAAAGTTGAAAGTTTTGGTGACAATATGAATTAATCTCTTTCTAATGAACCTTGTCTAGGGGTAACATGTACATTAATTGCATCATTTTTGAAAATGTAGTTTTGATAGTTGTCTGCAGCCATGAACCCCCGCTGTGATCATTTCCATCACCCTCACAGCTTCCATCCTTTCCTCTGGCTTTGGGCTGTGCTGTACTTACCACTGCAGACTAATTTGTCTCTTAAATTGATGGAATAATTCTGAATGTCCCATCTCGTTCTGGATCTTTCGTTTCCCATATTGCTTTTACAGTTCACCCGCTTTGTCACATGTTTTGATATTTTACCCCTTTTTGCTACTGAGTATTTCATTGTTCAGATATATGTGCTTTGTTTATTCACCTGTTTGAGGTATTGGGGTTGTTTTGGGGCTATTCTGCGTGAAGCTGCTTTGAGTACTCGTGGATGAATAAGTCTTTGTGAAATTGCTTTGCGTAAATAAAAACCTCCATGTGAGGTGGCTGAATGTATGGTAGTTATCGATTCAACTTTTACAAAGCTGTAACATTTTTTCATTCCCACCAAAGGGTAAGAGGGATCAAGCCAGCCTCATCCTTGCCCACACTTAGTATGATCAGTGTTTTAAAATGTTAGCTATTTGGGTGATCATTTAGGAATAGTTCTAAGGACTCAATATTCGTTTTCCTGGTGAGTTGTCATGTCAAGTATTGTTGACTTGAATCATTTTGAACCCAGTTCATGTCATCGTGCTTGATGATCAAAATCTCATTTGCAGAATGCCTGCACCTCTTTAGTGTCATCATCTGGCTTGATGACCACAGAACTAATGAATTTTGCACAGAAGCTTCTCTCGTGATTCCTGCCCAGCCTTTCCATCACAGCCACTCCCCACTCCAGTCAGTCATTCCCTGGGCTCTAGGCGGCTCCCTGTGGAAAGGAGGAACATGAACTTCCCTGGGGCTCCACTGAGGCACATCTGCTGGGGCAAGACTGTGGAGCCGGCTTACCTGGTCAGGGAGACCAAGGTGAAGAGCCCATTCCCAGTGGAGCACCTGGCTGGGGCCTTTTACGCAGGTACTGCCCCAGAAGCTCCCTGGGCAGAACCATTCCCTGTCTGTACATGTACCTGAGAGCTCTGGCGCTCTGGTTGAGGTGTTGTAGGCAAGCATTTTCCATCTGAGGCTTATTACATAGATTTTTCAAAGTTTTCACAAAGGGATTTTCTCACTGAATCTGCTTAAGGATTTTGAGACTGAAAGAATAGGTTGGTTCAAATTCATATTTCTTATATATATATATTTTTTTTTATAAGAACAGACTGAATACTTTGGGCACATTGTGAGTGGAGAACGTGGAGGAAAATTGCACACTTTGGTCCTTCCAGAATGCTCTCAGGATTCCGGAATGACAAGATGATAATGACTGACATGCTGAAAATGAAGCACCATGACTGCTAGGCTTTCTGGCATTTTGGGCTCTCCTGGTGACGTGTGATTGAAAAATGGAGTGACCTTTCTTTTGGTTTTATTTCACACCTGTTTTTTGCATCTAACTATCCAAGAGCTCTGTCATTTCTCCCTCAAAATGGTTCCCATTTTATTTGATCCAAGATTTTTCTGAAGACTGGGGCCCATCCTGTGCCCTGTAGGATTCTACTCCACACGTCGAACATCCCATCAGCTGAAATTAGCAGGGCAAACACTTTCCACTTTTGATATTGCTGATTTCAAATGAGATGAAAATCCACTTGCTATGAAATTTGTACCAATGATAAGATGGTTAGGGTCTTATGATTGTCGATTTCAAATTTGTAGTTGTTCAGTTCAGTGAAGCCTATAATTCGCTAGCAAAAAATGAAGTTTCATTTACTTTTCAGAATAAGTGAATCAGTACACATTAATCACAATTACTTCGTCAAAGTCTGCGGCATATATTTTCGACAAATAAACAATAGATCCTCTGTTCCAAGAAACATTTCATCTAAGAAAAATGGACTTTGTAATTCAAACCAGAAATTGCCCTAAATATTCAATCTATATTGGTTCATTTTGTATGCCATTTTCTCTGGGCGATTTCTGTTGACATTTTTTGTGTTCGTAATTTCATAGGCTGTGGTCATTTGTTACTTCAGCAACACCCATCTGCACATGCATTTGTCATTCTTCTGCCGAATTTGGCTCTGGTTGGGTAATGGGAAGTGAGGGCTAGTGGAATAATGCTGTTATGTGAAGGGTAGCATTAGAGCACACAATTGTACTTCAAAGACCAAGCACATATGGTTTTGACTTTTATAAAGATGGCAGGTGGACATGAAGAAAAGGTAGATTTCAAATTTATTTCCAAGATAGGAGGAACTTCTTGAAAGTCTAAGGAAGATTAATTTTCAATTTGGAATTCCTAATAACTGAAACATGATCAGGGTTTTACAACTTCCTGAGGTAAATTTTCTGGATGGCCAGGTCATTTTTATGTAAACCAATGGAACAATTTAATAGAAGTCTCAGAATGATATAATACTAACAAATGGTTGGTAAGAGGAGCTTTGGAAACCAAAGCATGGCTAGTGGAATATAATCAGAAAATTTTAGCTAGAGCCTTATAACATTAGAGAATTGAGTAATAAATGATGGACTTTTAATTTGTGATCCAAATAAAATGAGCACAGTTTTAGAAATCAGTTTTAATTTTAACAGAGTAATTTATCATGCATCTAATTTAATTTTTAGCATCATTTAGCATATGGAAGTTCTCTTGTGCCCTACAATGCTAAACTTTCATCAAAGATGCCTACAGTTGGCCTTTTCCAAGGGCAATATTTTTTCCTTCTGTTCTCATGATGCCTCCAATAAAAGAAGAGGTAATGATAGGATGAACAAAAATGAGAATTTGACTTGTAGCATTTATCCTACAGACATGTAAATAAACATTATTTGA